TATATATATATTATATATATATATATGTATATATATATATATATATATATATATATATATATATATATATATATATATATACATATATATTCATGTATAGCTGTAGTTATATCGTGCAAAGGCCGCACCACATCACTATTGCACACTTCACGGAGGCTAAAGTAGTAAATTGACACTTTCCATTCGAATTGTAAAATACATTGTAGGCAGCGAATAGAGGTTGCGACGTGGTCGGAGATTTGCCTTGATACTGGTGGCAGTTGTGCATCATATTCTTTCGAGCATTTCAGGAACATAACTCTTAGCTGATGTATTATTGAAGTACATATTGGAAAGCCCGTGAGAGTATTTGTCTAACTGACATAGCCATACATACGAGTCATAACAATGCGTACCAGTAACATCTATTGGATATCGCATATGCTTAAATCCGAAAGATGAAGAAAAATTCAACAAATATACTATAGAATCTGTTATGACTCGCGCGTATGGCTGCTATATTATATATTAAAAAGTGCGAGTGCTATTTATTCAAAACTCCAAAACTGATGTAAATCATAGCCTTCTAAATTAGACAAATGTATTTATTGTCAAATTCTGTTGATAATGATTTGATAACGTGCACGATCTTTCCCATCATGTGCTGATAAAAATTCTCCGTAGTTCGAACGCATCTTTAAATAAAGGCATTGGTAACGTTCACAATATTATTTATTAAAAAAATAAAATGACTGAAATAAAGTTTACACGTTATTTTGGCCGACCGCACCAAAATCCCCCAACAAAATCGAATCTTTTAAGACCTAAATTTTTGAAAAAACGTCCGCACCGGCAACAAAATCCGGTCTCGATTTTTGAAAAGTGGATTTTTAAAGCTGTTTTGACAAAAATCCAGGCCTCGGATTTTGTCAAAAACATCAACAAAATCCGTCTAACAAAATCCGAAACTATAAATATACTCTTCTCTGAGTGGCTTAAATTAAATTTAAGAAGTTTGTACGTAACGCCAGTTACTCCACCGATTGTTGAATTTTGATGTCAAATATATGTCAAAAGTTGGAGTAACTGGAGAAATTAGGCGCCGTAATGGACTTTATTTTTACAAACCGATTTTTGAAAAGTACCGCACCCGATATAAATTCAAAATCTAGTTGACCAATAGACACACAGCATTCGTTTTTTCCCATCGGATTTTTGAATCCAGATTTTTATCACCGGTGCGGTCGGCCATAGTAATTTACATACTCAACTCCACTCATGTCTCATGAATGGTATTTATTATGTTTTTTTATGTAGCATTGTCTCCTATCATTTTTATATATAGAAAATATATCATTTTAAGAAAAAAAAGGAAACAAAAACAAAAACAAACCAAAAAACCAAATAGATCCAGCAGTGCACAGACCAGTTGCCAGTCGCCAACTCGCCACTCGCCAGTCGCCCCCTTCAGCCCCAGAGAGTTCACTTCAGCGTTCAGAGTTTCTCAGACTGCAAACAGTGAGAACTTTTACTTCTTAGAACAGTCGGAAATGAGAACAGTGAGAACACAGCAGATGTTGAATATGTTTGGCTGATGATTACTGACCTGTGATTCAAATATGTACCGAAATTCGATAGGTTTAGACCCAAAAATAGATCCAGCCAATGGTCGGCCATTTCTTGATAAACTTTGAAGAGAGGCTATGAATATCAATGAATCATAGCCTTCTCAAGTTCTCATCAAAAGAAATACACAGCAATTTTTAGATTTGTACCGAACTTTAACTACAATTTTGCCTAACGACCGGCAAGTGCACTGTTGTGATGGAGTTGATTATTTTGAGCTTTTAGAGACCGTGTTGTATTTATTTATTTATTTTATGTACTTGTTTTTTTTGTTGTGATGAGATCCGAGTTCCGAGATCAGAGTTCCGACATCTGTAGTTTCTGCAAATATACAGACGGCACACTCAGGTTATCCACACCAGTATATCCAGGGACATATACACATACACATATACACATAATGAAGGCTCTAATTCTCGTCGGTGGATTCGGAACGCGTCTGCGTCCTTTGACGTTAACACTACCAAAGCCTATGGTACCCTTCTGCAACGAGCCCATGGTTGTGCATCAAATGACTGCCCTGGCTAAGGTATGCCCTGCCGACCTAATACAGTGTACTTGAATCGCTTACTTGATTACATTTTACTTTGAATCTACAGATATGCCACTTTTAGGGTTATTAGGGCCGCTGGCTAAGGTATACCCTATGCACCTAACTAGCTAAGGTATACCCTGTGAACCTAGCTGGCTGTAGCTCGAACGCGGATAGATTTATCCTAATAGAGTCCATATTGATTGTACTCTTCAATTTTTTTGGACGTTGATGCGTCGCAGACACTCACTAGCGTGAATATTACGGCTATCAAAGATACCAAACCAAATAATTGACAAGCGTGGTCTTGTACACACACGTAGTCTCGATATGGGGCTCTCTGATGAACTATGTGTGTGTGTTATTTGGAAGTGTACCCATTCTGCTTCTATGAATATTGATCCGAGGAAGATAGACACGGAAATTAGAGACTATCGGGAAATCACGCGCATATTCAGAGAGCCCTTTTCGTGAATACGAATGGTGCACCCTGTAAACCTATCTTAATCCAATTCGGAAGCGGTTTGCCAAAATTGCTTCACATGCATAAGTACACGCATATTTTTGTTTTGTGCATGAGACATTTAATCATATATATATTTGTTTAATTGACTACTGCTGTCGAGGTGATTTGTTGAATAACTGCTCCAGGAAGGTTGTAGGATTATCAAATAACCATGCATGTATGCATATATATATATCTATATATATAAATATACATACATACATATTTATATATGTATATAAA